CGTTGCTATTTATCATCCCCAGTTTTCGCGCCGCTCCGCTAGGAACGCCTGGCACTATGACCCACTAAGTTTCCGGAAGCCCGAGTAACAAGCAAGTTATTATTAAATAAACTAGTGGTAATCGAAGTTTGATCGAATGTCAGATAACGATCTGCTCGTGAAGTTGAACTAGCGATGAATAGATTTTCGCCTGCGGTAAAAATAGTTTTAATTAACTACCTATTAACTTGTACCGGACAAACATTTTCCAGGAGATGCATTTGAACTGTTGGCGACACTTAGAATTCAATTTCAGATCGCCAACACTTGTAACAAATATTTCTAGAAACAACAAAGTTTTGATCAGCGACCCCGCAAGACAGCACGCGCGTCGCCAAATGTTTTTAAATTTTATGTTTGTATTTGTTTACACTGTCATCAGAGGTCGAGCAGTCCGATCTAGTTTAGACAAGAAACTCGATACCAAAGAGTTTCTATTTCTATCTCATGGAGAAACTATTTCTTCATGAGAAATCGTGTATACGTATATCTTTGTATTGACGTAATGAATTGAATAAAGAAATCACACTCGTGTACCCATACTTTTAGGTCTAATTAAGGAGTTCGAACGCCACCACNTAACTTGTACCGGACAAACATTTTCCAGGAGATGCATTTGAACTGTTGGCGACACTTAGAATTCAATTTCAGATCGCCAACACTTGTAACAAATATTTTTAGAGACAATAGAGTCTTGACCAGCGACCCCACAGGACAGCGCGCGCGTCGCCAAATGTTTTTAAATTTTGTGTTTGTATTTGTTTACACTGTCATCAGAGGTCGAGCAGTCCGAACTAGTTTAGACAAGAAACTCGATACCGAAGAGTTTCTATTTCTATCTCATGGAGAAACTATTTCTTCATGAGAAATCGTGTATACACATCTTTGTATTGATGTAATGAATTGAATAAAGAAATCACACTCGTGTACCCAACCTCGTTCCCAGGGTCTCTCATCTTACCGCCCCCGCCGATTTGACTGCTGTTCCTAGAAATAATGATGCTCTCACAAACATTGCCAATTATCCTCGATTTCCTCTCTCTAATGATGTTGATATGGTTGTACCTTGAGTCCTGAATGATGCAGAGAAATCACTTCTTGCAAATTTAACTGTCGATAAGGACAAAATCCATGCTATTGAAAGTAACACATGTGATCAAGCAGGCTGCACTGAGTGGACGGAAGAGCGTAAATAGAGATTTACCGCTCTAAGTTTTCAACTGATTGCAAAAAGGCAGAGGAATCATTCAAATTTTGCACAATCAATCATGCATCCCAAGCCCTTCAAATCGAAGTATGTTGCACATGGCATTAAATACGAACCCATAGCCCTACAGGAGTATGAGAAGTTTATGTTCAACAGGAAAACACCTGTTGCTTTTCTTAAAAGTGGCCTTGTTGTGTCCAAAGGCTTCCCAGTACTTGGTGCCACCCTGGATGCCAAAATTGTTGACTTTGGATGTTCAGTGTGCTTTGGCTTAGCTGAGGTTGTGTCCACAGACAAAATTTCTTGTGACACCATACACCGAATGCAAATATGGGAGACCACTTGGGCGGCCCGGGCCGAGTTGCATAAAGTCGAGGCTAGTTAGGCCACGAGCGACTTTTCCCTGATGTTTTGATCGTCACGAATGGCTGCACGTGTGCTTACCGAGGATGATATTCCTGGCGCTTCTCTCCCCGGTAGAGCGCCTGCGACTTTAAAGAACGAAGAACTTCGTTTCTGGTTGAAATGCAGAGGCAATTCTTTAAAGGGTTTGAAAACAAAAGCGGCATTAGTAAAGAGGTAAGGCACAAGATTGCTCCGGTGAATGTCACTTATCTTGTGAATAATTACACTTGATTAACCCCAAAACGTAGCCTATG